CTTATCGAACCCGGTGGAAGTCTAGTAGCATCTTCAAACTATCGCCAGTCATGAAAAGATCCGGTCAAATGACACGAGTTTAGATCTATGAACAAGGCACGAAATGGAAAAGAATCGGCGACAGGCCACATCAGGCCTACACTTCAGAGCCGACATCACTATGTTATGTTATGTTATGTTATACATATTTATGAAAAATCTTGAATTCTGGTTTTCCGTGAAACTCTGCTACCGCTCTACAGTCCTGTTACGTTTCTTGTACAATAACGTAGGATCATTAAATAAAAAACATAACGAAAACAATCTTCTCTTGATTCCATTTACAAAATATGTAAAATCGCGAAGTGTTTCAACTCAATCCAATTGGTAAATTCAAGGTGCTAGTTATCACACTTTTTTCTAATTCTATTGACAAATCTCTTATAATTGTCAAATTTATTTATGCTTGAAGGGAGTCGTATGAAAGATGATAATTTTCATTGATTTAAAGATTCGATATAACAATGCTCCCTATAACGTTGACAGTGAGATTTTGCCTCCAGCGGACTGATTGGTCACTGAAATATTGTACGTAGGTTGATTTGAACGTCGCAACCACGGCTCTTGGTGAGGTAAGCCAACAGCCGATGATGGTGCTGACCACCACAACCACCTCATGATGATGTTGCTGATAATCACACTCACGTTAAGTCACATGGATATTGTAGGTTGAACATCGCAACCATGGCGCTTTGTGTGGTTAGCCAACAGCACCTATATGACGCAAGACAAACGGAACGCGTAAATGAAACATCACGCAATGACCGCTTACTTTTCATAATAAATTCGTTAATAAATTCAATAGTGAACGACAATCATAAACAATTCACTAAAATCTTTTTCTTTACAACTAAGTCATAGACATGTCACTCTTTGCACTTCTATATCATATCAGCAATGCTTATATTAGCAGTTTCAACTTAGCTCGTTAGAGTGACAAGTAACAAGCAAGGGTGGCATGACCAACTGAGTACATTAAGCGCATGATAGAACAAAAACGACTTGTGTTTCGTGTATGTTGCAAAGCTTTCTTTTCTATACTCTTATCTTGCCACCAACGCATTTAGTCAAATTATATTTTGTCTCGTTTCTCTGAATATATTTTTGAAATCATTAGGGAATATTAATTCGGGCGACAAACAAACAGGATTTTTTGGGCTACAGTGGAGACATTCAACTATTGAACTACTAACTAACAAGGTCTCGTAGACTATATAAGGATGCGTTTCTATATCTACTTGTCCATGCACAACTGAAGCGCTGAATGTGATGAAGATCATTCAGTCACAATAAACTATTAAATAATAAACAATAGAAGTCGAAAATTTTACAGTCTTTTGAAGACATCTACAAAATATCTACAAACAACTCTAAGAGTTCAAACTTAGAATCTTCACCATTGTGGCGGTGGAACATTCACTTTTCCAGAAAAAAATTTTGATTTCGATATGCTTTCATCATAAAGTCATGGCATATTTCCGCATTTCCTAATTCATCAGTGCCACAATAACTGAACTAACTTAACTTTTATTAAAGTTCTCATATTGTCTAAATTTTATGTTCTCTAGCCATGTAATTCCTTACAGTGTAATTTTAGTCTAGAGCAGTAAAACATTATATTTCGCGTGATGAACAAATCTCTTTTTTGCTGAACAAATAATCCATTCAACTTTATTTCATTGTGTGACTTGAACTGTGAAGAGAAGAAGAGGTCAGGCCATGTTAATGATATCCTTCGAATATTCAACTAATTACCCCACTAAATGTCACAAACATTTCCTTCAATTTTAAATAAATTTATTCGTTAAGTAATTTTATGTTCTTCAGAGAGGAACAAAAATTTCAGTTATTTACTTTAATTAGCGTAGAGTGTTTAATAGCTTTTAAATTATGTAAACTTTAACTTGGCTATGCATTCATTACGATATAAACAAATGCACAGATTCTTCTGGCATCTATCTTGCATTTAACGAGCATATTTGAAAACTTGCTAATTGAGCTCATTTCTGGCTCTGACTTCGGAGTCATATTCCCGCAAATCTCCTCCATTCTTCTGGTTTAATAAAACATATTGCTCCTCAAAATAATTTCCCGCAGAGTTTTACACAAGATGTTGTAACTGTTTTAATTTTTCGATCTCTTTTCTTATAACCGTTTAATTGTATTTTTTTCTTTTGGCAGCTTCGCTTTCTCTTGATGAACCTGAGGCTCTATATACGCGATGCGCCTTTTTTCAGCTATTTATATGCATTAATGAAGAAAGGTTAAAAATTAGACAATACTAGCAAATTTGTCTGTATGGAAGCAATTAACCTTTGGAACGTGTGTGCTTACTTGCTAAAAAATGAAGAAATATTAATACATCTCAGATAGAAATTCAATGAAATGAATACCCATTTGCATAATGTTTTAAAGTTATCTTCTGCATATTATGAGTGTTAGCTGATCTTTATTATACGAGTCCCTAATTTATTTGACCCTTGAAATTTCATTGAAAAAATGCAGCTAAAGATTTAATGGACGATGCTGAATACTTGCAATGATCTTTTCCATTACAGTAACTACCGACAAAACATTGATCTGAATTCAATCTGTTTTGCGTTGAGATCTTTTCAATATTCGAGGAGCAATCAGAGTCAAAGACCGCCATTAGCTACATGGGTACTTAAATGAGTTTATTTTAAACTCAAAAACATTTTTACTTCTTGACTATAGTTGTTCTGTCTAAGTGATAGCATAAATAAGTAAATTGAAGCTGATGACGATACTGTGAGGAAAATTGTAAGATATCAATAGATAGAAGCATGGAAGTCATACGGAAGTCACATTTTATTTGTATTGCATGTTGGTGGTTGTGAAATGTACGTCAGTAAAACGGTGTCACCGGATGAGAGCTGGGGAACCTGGACCAGACGCCTCAAACTGCAAGGATGCATATGGATTAGTCATAGTTTATTATAAATTAAGAGCATGAAATTTCTTAACCTTTAGAATAAGTCATCATTGCGAAATTGAATTTCCCCAACACGTAATTTGAGCGAGTTTAAATTGTTAGAGAGTTTAAAGAGTTTAATTGTGAATTGATTTTAATGTAGTTTGTTAGTTGAAATTAGAGTGGAATCGTAATCCCCTTCATCCCAGACGAAGTTTAAAGCCGATCTAATTCTGATGAAATGAATCATCAGCTGAAACGTCTCCAAATTTAGTTTGGATTCCGCACCAGTCCGCCCACCGAGAACATTGCATCGTGGAACATCAGATTTTGGAGGCATGTTGACCTTTATTATTTGAATAGATTTCCAATTTAATTTTGTCCGTCTTTAGTACTCAAGAGTTTAAGATTTTTTATCAAAACTTACAAACATAAATTTGTTAAGATACATAAGTAGTTCTCATTGTACTCAATGTTTATAAGGTACCTCAAAATGAAAGAAAAAATTCAAGTTTTTTTATACAAACATTTTAGCATACGAATTAAAATGCCTATAGCTTGCTATTAACATAATCGCACCTGGATCTAGATTTTTAATCCAACCCCATAAAATATGTTCATATTAAATTATAATTGCTCAGAAAGATTTATTCGCAACTACGCCGTGATATCTTGCCAGGTTTTTCATAAATTATCTATATCGACCTGAAACCTATCAACCTATTTTAGGTATAGATTTAAATCTGCTGAGTTTGCTATATATAACTGTAAATTCCGTTTTTCCATGACAATCTTGGCACCACGACACTCGTACGGTCTCCGTTCTATCATAAACAGAAAAAATATAACTCAGGACTCACTGCAGTGAGTGACAGAGAGCGCATTTTCTCGTCGACGAAAACGCGAAGTCACGGACGGACAGACAGACAGACAGACGGACGGGCATGGTGAGCACAATAGTGCATTTTTTCCATACATGAGAAAATGCGCTAACAATGCAAAATTTCATTGAAATTAACGTTATCCGCTATGGTGAAGAGATTCAGTACTGACCCCGAACATTTTATTTTTTAGTTTCGTGATGCACTGACACTCACTTTCGGGACAGTTTTCCTCGTCACTCATATCGTTCCAGTCGTTATAGTCGTCACAGACGAAGCGGCCTTTGATGCAGATGCCATTCTTGCACTAAAACTCAGTTATAATTCAAGCACTGCCAGCAGTAGGAAATACGGTGCTCACTGTACCCGTGTACTGCCTTTTTGATTTTAAGTGCCAAGTTTTTCTCCTTCCACAACCCGGCAGTAAGCGACAAAACATGCCCAATGTATAAAATCCGAAACTCGAGATGACTCGTGTATTAATTGTTAAATGAAATATAAAATACTTGAATAAAATTTCCATAATATTTAGTATAATTTTTTTCTAACTAGAAGCGGGCCATTATAAATATTGCAGTGATAGAAAAAAATGAGTTGAACGTACATCATTTCCTTGAAATTTTAAGCAGTAAAAAGTAAATGATAACATTTTGTTTTCTGGTATCGTCGGTCCTACTTAGGAATAGGTGGCAGCTAGAGGGTGGCTAGGGAAAGGTCTAAAGGTGTCTGGATGTTTTTCAGGGGATTAGTAAGAGTATTGGTAAAGCTTGAAGAAATGTGACGTATCTACAGTACAATCCAAATTCCCATGCACTACCCTAAGCAAATCGATTAAATTAAACACTCTTCAAAATTCTTCACTTGATTCTGGGGTTTCGTATCAATATACGGGAAACTTTAAGGTGTTTCCACGTATATTGATTGAAATTGAACGGTTCTTTATTTTATTCTTCACGGTTGAAAACCGTAAAGCAAGACTCACGAAGAGTGCAGTCAAGTTCATCGCTGCCATCATGGCAGTCGTCGTCACCATCACACCTGAAGCTCGCGTTGATGCAGCGATGGTTGGCGCACTTGAACCTGTCTTCGCTGCACTGGACTGAGGCACACGGAGGGAAGGGCATCGTAAATTCATCGTTCAATTATTAAACAATCAATTTCCTCAGTGTATTTTATAACTTCAGAAATTAAATCAACAAAGTTGTTTAGAGTAAAATGCGAAGGTGATTTACAGAGCGTGTTTTATTAAAATAACTAGTCAGTTGAAATAATTAAAGTTCTAATCCAGTGGTTCCCAAAGTGGGCGATATCGCCCCCTTAGGGGCGGTGGAAAGATTTTGGGGGGCGGTAAGGAAGAAGAGGGCGTTTGGGGGGCGATAGGGGGGCGGTAGTCCGAAGTCAGAAGTTCGAACGTTTGTTTGACGATTTGTACACAACACGTGCAGCACATCATGACTCCCAGCGATGGTTTTTTTTTCACCCAGATCTGTTTTTTTAACCTCTCCTGGGTTTACGTCTCGGACAAAATAACGGCCGGACTCGCGGCCGGTCTCACGCCCAATTTCCAATTCAATGTTCAAGGAATATCTCTCAAACTAATGAACTTAACTCGATGAAACTTGGTGCACGTATTCATTAGGACCCAACGGTAATGTTAAGCTCACGATTTTTTTTCTAATTTTGCCTTCATTTGTTTTTGCTATAGTTATATGGCAATACGGGCCGAAATTCACAGTACCGGGTAATCAAGAAATTTTTTCCAAACTATTGAGCAGATTCGAATGAAATTTTGAATTTACGGTCCTAACTACCGAACGTTAATGTTCAGCTCATGAAAATTTATTCGATTGTGCCTTTGTTCGCGAGTTTTTTTTTTCCATTTCACCTTCATTCGTGATTTAAACAGCAATACGTGCTTAAATTCGCAGTAATCAAGATATTCCTTCCAAAACTACTGAATGGATTTGAACGAAACTTAGTATTTAAATACCTAACCTCAGCAACGGCGAGGTTTTAGCTCTCTACAATTTTTCCGTTTTGCCTTCGTTTGCGAGTTATACGGCCATACGCATTCGGATATACGTAAACGGCTCTTGGTTAAACCGGCCAGTAGAAAAGCCGGTCGTTCCTCCTATATCTGTATAACTTGCGAACGAAAGCCAAATAGAAAAATTGTCGCGAGCTAAACATCACCGTTGAGAGGTTAGGTATTTATATACGAAGTTTCGTTGAAATCTGTTCAGTAGTTNTTAAAAGAAAAAAAAATCAACGCTTGGTAGTTAGGAATGTATATTCAAAATTTCGTTCAAATCTGTTCAGTAGTTTGGAAGAAATTCTTTGATCACGGAGAATTTCGGCCTTTATCGAAAAAATAACTGAAAAATGAAGGTGAAATTTAAACATTTTTACGAGCTAAAAATCAACGTTAGGTTCTGATGAATATATGTTCCAAGTTTCCTTGAGCTGCGTTCATTAGTTTGGGAGAAATTACTTGATAATTGAAGTTGGAGATTGGTCGTGCGATCGACTGGCCACGAGTCCGGCCGTGAATTTGCTCAAACAGCTTAAAAACATATTGGTTCACTAAATGGTGTTCTATTTGCGAAATACACATTTGTGTTTAACATTTATCTATTAAAATTGCAGCGTACTAAATTTCAAGAAAGAGGCGTATGTTTTTATATGTGTCTGTGGGGGGGCGCTAGAAGTTCACTAGGGAGCCAAATGGGGCGCCAGCCTGAAAAAGTTTGGGAACCACTGTTCTAATCTCACTTTAAAGTGTTTGGATCAAATTTTACCAAAATTCATATTATTGTCGGCTTTTTATATCTTCCGTGGCCAGCTTTATAGGTGTTTATTATGTATTTATTAAATGGATTGAGCATTGAAGTATATCAAACCTTCGCAGTACACACACTTTGTACTGCATTCCATCACTGATATTTAACACATGAAGTGCAATTTTGTTGATCGTCTTTTTTAACTTTTCATGACCTTTTCACTTTTTGGGTCTTGAGTACAAATTCGAGAAACTATCAGTAAAGTCTAAAAAATATTAACTTCAAGAATTATACCCGTAAAAAAATCGTTCGGATTCTGGATGTGAAAATTTGATATTATTATTAGGCTAATATTTTATTAACATTTTTTTATTTTATATAAGCAGATTTTTGTCATTTTCGCTTTCAACAACCAGCAAATCATGGTAATTTGGATAGAATTTATCAGTTTATCTTCGCATTATCGAAACGAAATATAATGCACCATGAGATAAGATTTGAAAGAAATAACCCTTGGTTCCATATCATCAACAAATCCTACTTCTGCCCGCACCGCAGAAATGTGCAGCTTATCTTACACCACAGAAATGTGCAGCTTATCTTGCACCACAGAAATGTGCAGCTTATCTTACACCACAGAAATGTGCAACGCATCTTGCACCACAGAAATGTGCAGCTTATCTTACACCACAGAAATGTGCAACGCATCTTGCACCACAGAAATGTGCAGGATATCTTACAGCACAGAAATGTTCAGGATATCTTACACCACAGAAATGTGCAGCTTATCTTGACTCACCATCGGCACAGTTTTCCTCGTCGCTGGAATCCTGACAATCATTATCACCATCACAGCGGTAGCGAGCCTCGATGCAGTTGCCATTCTTGCACTCAAACTGATTGATAGTGCAGACATTGTCAGCTGAAGGAAACACGTACAGTATATTAATATATATCATGTTTTCGTGTACTGCATTGTTTGCAATGCGTTTCAAAACCATTTTACAATCGGAATCTAATTTAACTCAAAGATTTTTATGCTCTTCTCAAAACACTTGAATTAATTCAAGTGTATCAGCATTCAATTTAATGGCGTGATGAAACACATTTAAAATTGCCGGTTGTAAATTGTAAACATTAACTTTCACTGCTACACCAAGGGAATAACTACGATATAATTAAAATATTCTTTTGCAACCATGGTCTTTATGATTATACAATACAACACAAATCGCACAGATTACATACATTTCCTTTAAATGTTTTCATTTCCTCCTATAGTTTCGTATAAATATACGGCAATAATTACGAGGACAAGCGCACAGATTAAATGCACTTACTTTAAATATTTTCATTTTCTCCTATAGTTTCGTTTAAATATACGGCAATAATTACGAGGACAAGGAAAAAACAGTAAAGTAAGACTTACGAAGAGTGCAGTCAAGTTCATCGCTGCCATCACGGCAGTCGTCGTCGCCGTCGCACCTGAAGCGCGTCGGGATGCAACGTCTGTTGGCGCATCGAAACTTTTCCTCTCCGCACGGCACTGAGATTTAAATTCACTGACAATCATCACAAAAATATATCGTAGAAGTTTTTTCCAAATAAGGCTTAAGGGTTATAACAAAAATCTATCGTAAAAGTTTTTTTCCAAATTGGGCTTAAGGGTTATTCGGACTCTATTTTGTTTTGAATCGTCGATTGATATATACTACACAACTGAACAAATTGCAATTGTAACCATTTTGTTTTGTACAAAACCTATTAATCAGAAACAAGTTAATTAAGCTTCGAACTTTCGTGCAATATAACTGTCCGCTATCGCACTAGCGTAGCTATAGATTTATAGTGTCGTGACCGTAAACAGTAGGAGGTAAGCCACCGCACCTCATGCACCACAGAGATGTGGTGCATGAGATTATCAAACAAATGAGAAAAATGTGTTATCAAAACCTCTTAATAATTGATAATCTCATGCACCACAGAGATGTGGTGCATGAGATTATCAAATAAATGAGACAAATGTGTTATCAAAACCTCTTAATAATATGTCACATACCATGGGGGCAGTTGCTCTCATCGCTGCTGTCTCCACAGTCATCATCAAAGTCACAGACGAATGCCTTCCTGATGCACTTGCTGTTCCCGCATTCAAACTCACTTATTTTGCAGTTCTGGCCAGCTAACGGATAATGAGTTTATTAATGATTTAAAAGCTTTGTTATTCTTATTATTCATTTACTGTATTTTATAATCCCCAACTTAGTTAAGAATTAGTTATATGGGAAAAAAAGAGAACGGTAGGATTGAACATTGAAATAACATTAAAAGTTCAAATGGTTTAAAAATATGATTGTATTACAAGTAAAAACTTTTACTTCGTTCAAAGTTGAAAAGGGATTGAACGGTTAACTCGTTTTAAGATTACTTTTAATAAATAATATAATAGATAGCAGAAAAGAACGGAGTTATCAGATTTCTGGGACTTGATTTACCTATTCCGGGAATTGACGTACGTGTTAACCTGCTTCTCAAACAGCTTAAACGTGTTATCTGCACAACCTGTTAACTGTTAACACAATTCTTCTACTTCCGAGGTTGGTATTTATTCTTGATCAGCAATACAGACCATCGTGTATACGCTTGTTGATCAGAGCAGTATAGAATAATCTTAAATATAGGTATACCTACGCTTGCTGGTCAGCAGTATTTAAGTATTCCATTCACCATTTTTTAAATCGGATTGGAGCGCTGGCTAAGTTATGTAAAGTCCAACGTTAATTATAAGTATTACTTTTTGGGTCTTTCATTACGTTGTAGAATAAATTCATAATAATTACAAACAGATAGACAATAAATCATTGCAGTAAACTTACGTAGGATACACTCGAGTTCATCGCTACCATCGAGACAGTCGTCGTCATCGTCGCACCTGAAGTGATCAGGAATGCAGCGGCCGTTGGCACACACGAACTGGTCTTCATCGCACGGCTCTGTGCACGGAAACTCGGTGATAAATGTGGCTCGTAATTTCACTGCCCCTCTTTATAAAAATTTGAATAATTGTAAAGAGTCCATTTAATTATAGCCAATAAATTTTCTCTATATTTCATCAGGTGCGAATGAACTTGTCTGCATAAAATGTTGTTGAAATGTAACAAGAGTTGTTGACTCCTTGTGAATTCACTGGCAATTATTTTGACATAATGTTGTTACTGGAACTAATAATTTGCATTAATGAATTAATAACGAACAACTTTGAAGTGCCGAAGCTCTCATATGACTCGTTTGAATCATTGAAAAGAATTTAGTGAAAAATCATGCTTATTAAGTAGTCTTCGAGTGTTAGATTATAATGAAGAGCAAAGCGATTACTAAAACAGGTTTATATGATAAAAGCGGAATTTCTTTCATTTTGAGATCGCGAGTTACACGGCACGTTCATCTTCAATGAATACAATGCGAGCGCAATGTATTAAAATAATGAGAGGAACTTTTAAAGCTTTTCTTAAGTGTAAGAACATTCGAGGAGCGGACCGACTCCCGGCAATGTAAATTTCAGTACAACCTTCTTCGCGAACATTGTTTTGCGTGGCATCTCGTGGACGTAGTGAGTAAATCAGGAGATAATACGAGCTCAGTTTATCTAAATTTGACAAATTTTGTGAGATTTGAGATAGATTTCATGCTAAATACTTGCAATTACATAAAAATCTCACCGGTGCTGTCGGTAGGGTTAGCACTCGCGGCCGTGCAGAGCAGAACTGCCATCAGGAGCGTCGGCCACCAGCCGTAACGACAAAATTTCAACTGAAATGAAAACCATAAGTTAAAGTTTTATTTTAAAAATAATATTTAATGATCAGTAAAAATTGCTATTAGTGAAAATCTTAATTTTAGAGTCGCGAACAAGCACTAAGAATGATTTTCCAGTGACTATAGATAATCCATGAAATTGGTTAGAAGGAACATACAAGACCAGGCTAGCGCATGGACTGGATCACTTAGCTATATTTAACGCTGGTCTTACAGATAAATGAAAATAGGATAAAATTGCTCAAAAACTCCATGTATATAAATTTTGGAAATCATTGTTTTCACAATTATTGACCTAAAATGTGCTACCTGGTGACAATGATAGAAAATAAAATACAGCGATTGCAGCTGATGTCAGAAAATCAGCAAACGTTGAAGACTCACATTCATCGCGGTGCCGTTGATTCTACGTTGTTCCTCACGAACTTGTTCAATTCAACCAACTTTAAGGCTGTTTGTGCAGTGCGTTTGTATGGCTGGGCGTGGCAGTAAGAAGCTATGACGACGTAAATGTTACTCTGGAACCATGAGTCGAAAAATGGGAACAAATTATTCAGTGGAAAATTTAACAATTATAGCAACATAATTATTCGTAAACAAGTAAAATAACTTAATATAGTAATAACTTAATTTTCAAGAATATTATTAATTTATTTTAAGAAAAACAAATATTTTAAAAAATATTCCAATTCTCATTGTAACATATTTTTTAATGGTCTCCAGGTAGGAAAATATAATTTCTAATTTGATAGACTTATGAAAGCCCCAAAAACAAGTCCAAGAAAACAGTTACCGGTATCGATTGGTATTCAAATAAATTTATACTAATTCTGTGTTTGAACAGCGCTACATGACATTAATGAAAAACAAAGACTGAATGCCCTGCATTTCCTTATTTTATTTTGGGACCCTTAATTACGCTCTATTTTAAACAAAACTAAGATTTAGTTTTGAATAATTCTAAATAGTTTCAAATTTTGTTCAACCAAAGTTTTGTTCAATTTTGCTTTAAACTCTAACGTCTCGTACTCTAGTACCTAGGTAATTATATGCATCTGTACCAAGCTAGTGCATCGGACCTCCACAGGTATAATTAAAACTTTTCTCAAAAATAATTTCAGCTTTAACGTTAAATAATGATATGCATAAATCATAAGATAAAAAAGGCTTATGATTCATTTTTGAACTTGCTAAGATTTCTCCACATTAACCTGGATTATATTTTATATGTTTTGCATAAAAAACGGTGTGAATAGAAATATATTAAAATATAATTATAGCAGAGCCTGAATTTTCAACACATATAAAAAATCAAAGTATTCAACTGTAACTTTCAACGATATTCTTCAAATTCTCTCTGTTAAAACTCAAAACCTCTCGTTCTCTGTTCATGGAGCTTAATTTTCATGTTAAATATTACTATTTGAATATTCGAAATTAAAATAAAATGATTTAATGAAGTTTTACTCCAGTCGGTTTCCTACCTTGGCTGCAGTGAAGAAGACCGAAATGCAAATGATCGCTCTTGGCTTGTGTCCTGTCTGATATTTCATGTGCTGCAGACGCGGCTTCTTAAACTGATAAATGCTGCCGGTTATAATTGCCTGAGTTACCCCAGAGTTTTGTCTAACGAAAAGTCCGATGTGCTCAGGCTATCTTAACCTTCATTAGGCGCCTCTCATATCTGCAGTTTTGAGAGGAGCTCAACAAAATGCAGGCTGATAAAAATTTTAGGTGTCTCCAACGCCTTGACGACAACAGCATCGTGAACAATATTATTCACTTGCACTTATGGTATTGAGAGAACAATAAGATTTGTTCTTTGAAAACAATATATCCAATTTAATGAATAAACAGGAATGATTTTGCATTGGGCAGTAATGAAGCATAGGTGTGCTTGAGGGTTGTTCATACAAACATTCATTAAGCGTGACGTAGAAAACGAAAGATTTTTCAGCTCCGATGGATTTCCTAAGTTAATAATAATATGAATTAATGATGATAATTATTTGATAATATGAATAAATATGATTTAATATAATAATTAAATTAATAGGAATATCTATCATATTATGTGCAAATTAATGTCTATTATATTATTAAGAAAATTCTTATTTATATTATTGCATCTTCGCAAGCATTTGTGTGAATGTATTGTATAAAATATTTTCCGCAAGCCAATGCTACACAAGCGTTGTTTCAAATGTATTTTAGTTGGTCTTTATCAAAATGTCAAGAGAATTTTTTAATTTTCCGTTATTATTATTTCATTATTACTATATCACTACTAAAATGAGAATAAATGTAGTTAGAATATCTATTATATGAACTTATTATATGATTGAGATCGTCTAACGATGTAAATGTATAGACGCCGTTCGAGTATCCCCAAGACCTGTCAGATCAAAATATTTCTATATGAAGTGAATTACATTGTTCACCGTGAATTCTTGAACATTGAAAAATGGGAAGCGGGACGACGTATGAAAATTTTGAATGGGATTTTCCCCTGCCCCTGTAGGTTTAAATTATATTCAAATGCGGGCTGGGATGGCTCTCTCTGCTATTAACACTGCTTTTGTTTAAATTATCAAAGAGATTTGGGGGTTTTGGGATGTGGGTGAAAGGGTTCACAAATCCCAAGGAGCTTTCAGTCGTTTCTGGCTCTCGGTTCTCTTGCCAAAGTTGTAAAATTGCAGGATTCAAGTAAATCATAATCACTGAGTAGAATCATAATCAGATATTTTCTTTATCAACTTTCAAAATTTACTATTCTTTTTATTCTTTTCGTCGAATTAAACCTCCAAGAAATCATTTTTATTTGTATTAAAATTAAAAATTTTTGAATCTTGTAAATGAAGCTATGAGAATTGTACATTTCGCTGTCTATATCACCTTAACAAAGCTCATTAGGAGATTTGTTCTTGCCCGCTGAAAGGACGTGTGATAAGCAAGACGTGATACTGACGGTCTTTGAATATACATGAAGTTATAATTAGCGAAGAATACAAAAAAATAGATGAATGAGAAAACATCTGAATGCATAAACTACGTTCTTAAACCTTGCAACTTGTTTCAATACACACGACAGCCTCTCATTCTGGTCAAATGAAAGAACTTATTAGTCCGAACAGTTCGAATTCTCGCATGACTTTTCTACACATAAACTAAAATATATATTTTCTTCTGGAATCTTTAAATTGGATGACAAACATACGAATACATTGGACCACAATTAAAACGTGCGAGTTCACTAATGACGCAAATTTGTCTACTATAAAACAAGTCAACATGATTTGAATATTCATCTTCAATTTCTACGATTATCTATCCCGATAAAAAATTCCATCCCGATACTTTACATAAAAGATTTATTGCCACAGCGTAGAAAATTATTCATTCAAACGATAACGAAGGTATATTTTTAAATATCCTCTATTGTTCACTTATATACACTTATTTATCTATTCCAGAAGATTTCTGCATAAAAAACACTTATTAGATAAAAAGTTACAGAAATCCAAAGTAAACTAAAATTATACCTATTACGACCAAGAGTTGGGGTCATCATGGAATCATAGAGGTCCAATGACAAAGAAAATTGGATGAGATTAACTAATAAGATATTAACCAATATATAAAATTAAGCTTACATTATTATTTATATATTAATCTAAGCTATCCTTTTATATAATGAGACGCGAGGGAATTCTGCGGAACTCAAACCGAATCATCGTTTGAACTGCGGTCGTGCGAGATTACGAAACAATCAATATGTTAGGGCGTGTTGTTACAAACTTATCTAGCAGCGATCTGACAGGAGGCTAGCTGAAAATTTCGGTAGCACATTGTATTCAATAAAAAATTCGGGTTTATTCTCTTCCGAGAGGCTTCAAAATCTGACGAAAGACTAAAAATTTGACACTCGCACGAAGGTTTAACCAAAAATATATCCTGTTTGATCACAAAATTCGTGATAAACGCACTAATTAACGAGAAACATTGGAGTTCACGGACTACAACAATTCATTGATATTCATACGTTACAGCAGGACGTGCACTCCTCAGACAGTTAAATCATTTCTTTCGATTGGAGAAAGCCGCTGCATTAAATATTCAACATTCAATTGCAGGGGGACGGATCAATATTTTTGGTCTTACCAATTTTTAAAACTGTTACATAATTTATAACGACTATGTGGAATGCCGTCAAAAAGAAAAAAATGGCCGGACAAAGTCAAACATTTTTGAAAACACTAATTATTATCATTTCATCGCTGTTTGAACATAATGATAATTCAGATCCTACAGTGGATGCTTTGCTCATCAAAGGGTAACTGAGTTCAACAGAAAATCACCTTACAGGCTTGGACTAATTCAATTGGAATCTAAATGAAATCTCGCGGATTATATGCGATGCCAAAAACTTGTGCATACCATTGGCTGAAATTCTAACTCGTTTGCAAGTCTGCTGACGAGGCGACCGATTACTGCCAACACCCGCGCAGGTTTAGCGCTGCCAAACACCGGGATTCTTCAGTCTGTTTGCTCGCGTCCGTGTCGATGAGTGATCGAATTTCGGACGCTGCAATGAGATAGACTTGCGACGCAGGATTGAGTTGCGATGAATTTCCCGGACAGAGTTTAAATTCATGTATGAGCTCGAGATTGTCCAAAAATTGGAAGCTTCCAACACTCCAAATAAAAATTCAATTGGGAAAAATGTAAATGCAGTTACGTTGGATTGCGAATTCGACTTTTGGCATAAGTGGACTGATGAAAACTGTCTAATTGAACACGAATTGAAGCAAGAAATTGATTGTCTATGTATGTAAATTCGTAATTTTTTATATTTTTTAACATTTACAAGTCTGAATTAAATGCCCAAATAAAAATCGAGAAGGAATAAAGAGGGATTCTACTTTAATTTTACTTGTGCAATTTTCATTAATTTACTGGTGCCACCAGTAAAAAAAATTGTTTACGGAGATTCTTCTCTAAACGAACTTTCAATCAACCTGCCCGGAAAATATTATGTCATGATCTGCTAAAAATCTTGTTAACTGATTAATATTGGTGATGATCAGCAAGAAGGAAAGCTTTCAGGGGTACTGGTCGCACCTAAATTTTTTCATTAGAGAAATTTGTTGCTAGCACAGCGAGCTAAAGATGAATATGATTTGATCACATACTTTCATTAAACACCACTCTCGAAAATGACAACACTTTCCCTAAATTTATTCATTAATGTATATTTGCGTCGTGTATCAAGTTTATGGGGCGGTAAAATGCAAAATTTTGACTGGATTTCCGCATATTGCATTTCGCATACGATTTATTTAATATCCCTAGAGCATGCATCAAACTAAGTGCTTTGTACAATTCGTTACCTTACCCACAACTTTCTATAGATGAGCTTGGTCTAATTCGTGACTTTCCTCTCAAATTCCCAGCCGATAGCTCTGCAATGAATTTCCAGATGTTATTCCTTACAGGTTACTTAAGGCCAGCTGATCGTATGATAATCGTGTAGGTTTTCCTCTATTTTATAGAAGTGAGGATAGTCTTTTAACATTGCCAGTGTGCGCGTTCACCATCTAGTCAGTGCGTACCCATCTAGTCAGAGCATTCCCCATCTAGTCAGTGCGTTCCCCATCTAGTCAGTGCGTTCCCCATCTAGTCAGTGCGTTCCCATCTAGTCAGAGCATTCCCCATCTATGTCAGCGCGTTCCCCATCTAGTCAGCGCGTTCCCCATCTAGTCAGCGCGTTCCCCATCTAGTCAGCGCGTTCCCCATCTAGTCAGCGCGTTCCCCGTCTAGTCAGCGCGTTCCCCATCTAGTCAGTGCGTTCCCCATCTAGTGCGTTCACCTAGTGTGCACGTTCACCATCTAATTTATTCGCTACCACTCTTGTCTGCACGCTAATACTCTTGTCTGGACCACTCGTGCCTGCACGCTACCACTCGTGCCTGCACGCTACCACTCCTGTCTGCACGCTACCACTCCTGTCTGCACGCTACCACTCCTGTCTGCACGCTACCACTCCTGTCTGCACGCTACCACTCCTGTCTGCACGCTACTATATACTCTTGTCTGAATGATCCTCTTTGTCATTCAGTTGCCCCACTTGTTGCAATATGTATGCAAAACCAGTATGTGAGTGCAGAGGCAATGGTCTCGGTGATATACTGCCGAGGTTTTTTAAAATAAATATTTAGAAGCAACCATGTACAGGTATGTTGCGCTGGAGTTTCATGTCCGTTGCACCGATGATACAGGCGGTGCCGCACGCGGCCTGTCTATGAAACGCTTCGCAGTTGCGTGCCGTTGAAGAGCGAACCGTCGAGCCTAAGAAGTGGACACTTCGCCGATGTTACGGAGATGATACGTGGGCGCCCTGACCGTTCGTCTCGACCTAAATCTATTTCAATACACCGGCGATACGCCTTCGATTTTTGACTGGGAATTGCAAGTTCCCTCAATTGTCACGGTGTCGAGACAACTTCGCAAAACGCAAGACTGGCTTGACGCGAACGAAAAATGCATTTTTCGCTGTCCTGTCGACAAGAAAACCACCCTTTTTCCAAACCAAGTATTCTATTCGACATATTAGTCTGATTGCCAGTAAATTTTATGTTCTCACAGCAAAGGTATAAATTCCAGTTAATTGGCTAATATTTTCCGAATCAAGTATGTAGAATTTAACTGTCAGTTATGAACTTGAAATTTACCCAACTTGAAGAACTAATTATATTCATATTGATGCAGTATAAATTAAAGATACATGGATACATGCAGTAGTTTATGAATAATGTTTTTTACTAGAAACTGGTGCACATGAACTCAGGGTTCCATCAAACTTTAAAAAACCTAATAAAGTCAAACTCAAATACTACTTGTGTAAGACGAATATATTAAATGACATTATATGAATTTGAAATGTTTGATTTAAAATCTTTATTTCATTAGGTAAGCCTATAACTTATATTTTCATCAAAATATAGGAATTTATTCTTTTCATGTTTCTGTAGATACTAAATGAATTCCTTGTGCCAATAAAATCCATGCCTACTATTCGGCATGATATGAAATTAGCCTATAACTATTGCAAATAATCTTGGATTTTCAATAAGTTTAAGGAATTTATTCCATTTATAGCATCTTTTCGCGAACTGAGTTGATTCGATGTTGGATTTTCAGCCATTAAAAATCATAAACATAATTGAAATTTTCAAGATCATATTCAATTACTCTCAACTCATTGAATGTGTGAATTTAATCTATTTTCGGTCAGTTCGATCTATGTGGGGGTCAAACAAGATATTCACCAAGAAAAGGAATCAAGTGAGCTTGAAATTCAAGCAAACTAAAACAATTTATTTCAAGAGCCAATAACTTGAGCACACAAATCATAATTATAATCAAATTTCAGAAATTCATTAATTCAACACGGGTGCAGGGTGTGTATGAATTTCTCACTTGAAAGCTTAGACGAATTCATAATTTTTCTAGTTAATATTTGTCTTCAAACAAACTCTGACTTAAAAAAAGAGACAATTTTATCGATTTTAAATCTGCGATTCAACATGCGTTTCAGACGTGCGAGTTGAGCGTTTGAAAAAGGTATTTAACGGATAATTGCTATAAATGAATTTGGATTTCAACAAATCCAAAGTAATTAATTGCTGAACACATCCGAATCCAAAGTAATTTCTGAACACATCCAAATGAATCGATTGCTGAACACTTTAAAATCCAAAGTAACTAATTGCTGAACACTTTCAAATCCAAAGGAATTAAGTGCTGAACACATCAAAATTGAAATAAAATAATTGTTTAACACATAAAAATTCAAAGTAATTAATTGATAAAAACGTCCAAATTCAGATCAAAATCCAAAAGAAATAGTTGCTGAACACATTGTTGAATGGAATTCCGAAGAGACATCTAGATCAATTATTGACTGTCAAGTCGACATTACAAATGGCTGAGTTTTGGCGGGACGATCTCTAGTCTTCCAATAACGTCGCCGTGAAGCCGACCAACTTGCGATTCGTTGTCGCAGTGCCTTTGATGCGCAGGACATACGGGACATTGGCATCTATTGAATAAGCAGTCCCTTCCTGCCCAAATAAAGTGAAACCACATCTCATTACGCTATCATTCAAATGATCAAACAAGCCGACCAATTCATAAAAATCGTCATTTCAGGAAATTCTGCTGATTATTTAGGTTTCTGGTGATTATTAATGGACCATCGCTTATTTTCACTATCGCCAACAAGTTGTCAGCTATACCAGCATTTTTATGCCTTCCGAATTATTTTTATACATTTCACAGCAGGAATAAATGAATGATCGGAATAAATGAATGTCAAATCTCAAGCGAGCAAACATCAGCCAAACAGATTTCGAGCGAATGTGTTTATTCGCCAATTCTTCAATACTGATTGTACTTGTGTAGATAAATTTTATGAACTGCGATGTGAATTTTCTTGCCGTTTCATTTCCTTCTAAAGAAAACTTTTCAAAAAGTCGGCTCCCAGTCGTTTTCTAATTTATTCATGTCAACAGAAATAATGGGTGAGAGTCACGAACAGCAGGATTCAAATATTTTTTATGTGCAAAATATATTGATTATTTTGAGTCGAGGGTCAAAATATGCGAAATTATTGCCGGAGCACCATAATTGTCTATCATTATTGCGTATAAGTGCTTACCATTAGCTTTTCCTTGCCACCAAAACTGTATATAGTAGCCAGATAAAAAGACACCATATTTCAGGTGCTCTCCTGGCAATAACATAAGCATTTTCTGTGTTCCTTTTGGAAATGCAACATTTCAATATTATTATTATCCTTCCTAAGATTATGTCTAGAGTTACTTTTCAATTGACTTATGAATAATCAAGTGTCAGCTACTCACAGACAAAGCGCAGAGATCCCTTGGCGTTTCCCCGGATAAGGCTAAGGTGATCTCGAAGCCATCGCATAAGCCGTCTCTACTGAAGTCTGAAGTTTCCCACAGGAAACCGTCTACAGATGTGACCACTGTGAATGTGAGCGAGCAATCCTCGACGTAGTCAGGGAAGGGTACGCAGCCGTAGCCGGCGTGGGACACGATACGGTCGCCGAAATTCAGCGGGTCTTGGATTGTCTTGCCACAGTTCCCGACTGATGAGTACAAGTCCAATTAAATTTCACAAGCTAGTGACGGTACATCAATCATATTGTTATTGAATCAATGCTCTAAATCAATGTTTTTCAGAACTACGTATAAACTTGTGAATTTTAGTTATGAAGCAAAGTTTATTACTGAACCACTTGTTTAAATGATAATTCTGTTTTTGGGAAACCATCAACTTCGGCGCTAAAACGGTAATTGATGCAACACGTTACTATGGTAACAGACACCGCACGGTGATCACGATGAGAACAACAAATGCCTCATGGTGTGATTAAAACCACAACAGAAGTTCAATAATATTCAATACAAAAAAAAAAGTTTCTAAGCAGGATTTTACCAATGTTAGAACATGTCACACAGCTTAGTGCATGTAACTGGTAGCAATGAATGTAATTCAAAGGACATTACTTTTGAAAATGTATTACGCACCACCAATCACTCAAACTGCACGTCTTGTCGTTTGAATCAAGTGAATATTCCACCTCATGCACACTACTCGCTGTTTGATTTTATGCACTCCTGTATAACTATACTAAAATATTTAATTGAATAATGCAGGACAAGACTGACTCCCTTCACTAATTTAGCAACAAAGTTAATTATCTTATTCAAATGTTGGTGCCAGGCTTTATGTATCATCCCTTGAGAACTTTTTGTTTACTATTAAAAATTTCCTATTGACTGTTGCCTATAATGAATGAATTTTTCTTAATCGCATTCATCAACCTAACCGGATGCTAAGTGAAGCTTCAAAACTTTTCGGTTAAATGCAATAGATTAGGGACAAGAGTCGCCCAACTCATGACACGTAATTTACTCACCAACTACGTGACTCATGGCTGCAGTTTTTGTTATTGCAGCCCTCATTCCGCAGGAGTTGGGAGCCATGCAGGTCAGGATGTCGATGTGACGAGTGTTGGTGAACTGATAGAACTTATCATCCTTGTGAACAATCACCTTTGTGTCGTCCAAGGATGAAAGACTACCATCTGTTTGCAAAATATCCGAACCTAATGATAGTACTGGTTGATTTTCGATAATTTGAAGCGCTGTTATCTGAATATTTTGACATTAATTCAGTAAGATTTGCCTCGTGTAAAAAAGTAAGATGTTACAACAATTAAGCCTTTATCTGGTCTCTGCAAAGAGCTGGTCTGTTACGTTAAAAATTGAGTTCCGACAGCGAAATAAGCTGTTACATTGATACACTGAACCTCTGATAACGTAGAATAAATAATAGCATTCGATTTGAAAATTCGATTAGGTTAAGTGTGAAATTCTCACTAGGTAAATGGATCATTTTAATTGACATGCAGTAGTTGGTCAATATAGCAAATTAGTTATCATGCAGTGACAGACAATTTCACTTACCATCCAACACTTCAGCATTCAGCTCTTCGAGCGTAAACAGGAGCGATGGAATGTATCCCACTAGGTTATTACCTTGTTCCACATACGCAGTATCGCTATCTGTGTACGGAAGAAGTTAGGTCATTCGAGTTTGTAAAGAATGAAGGGATGCTAATTTCTTATGAAACCGTATACGAAATTGCCCAGTGCAAGTGAAATAATGCGTCTAATAGCTTTAAAGGGCAAAAGAAATAATTTCAAATCAATCATCCAATTCGCTGCCAGAGAAATCTAAGAGATAGGACAAAAAGGATAAATGCATGAAACTGATTGTTATTCCAGCTCACCGTAGGTGCATTCATGAAAAATCGCGTTTCTATATGCGAAAATGTTATTATTTCATAATATTATTGTTAGATGCTCCAAATATTTTGCGTACAAATTGCGTTTGTAGGTCCTGAGAAAATTTTTTTATTGTACACTTTTTTACAAGTTTTACTTCAAAATTTTTCAATTGACAGTATGTGAGTAAAAGGTGCGGCAAAACGAGTTCTCTTATCGCAGGAAGTTCCGAGAGCAAAAACTCTCCAAAAAAGGCGAACAGCGACCCTCGAATAACTTGTCTAAACGCCAAATGAATGAGAAAAATCCAGTTCAGCATCTTTAATACATTCATCTTTTTTGAGCTACCACTCTTTTTGATGCGTTCCTGCCGTGATTATTTTAAACGTTATATATATCCTATTTGTTCAAAAACTTATAAATTATGGAAATAGGTATCGAAATGAACTACTTTCCTTCAAGGAACCATGAAATTGGTGTGTGAAAAATAATTATAATACTAATAATTAATACGTAAATAAAAAATTAATAAATAACTGCTGGATGCACGAGTTCATTTTATCTTGCAATAGATAAAAATAACAGCAACAGATACCGACCATTCTGCACGAAGTCCTTGCGAACGTAAACGTTAATGTCGCCGTCGGCAACGCAGCAGAAGCTTCCACGCAACTTATGAGCTCTGCAGACCCCGGCAGCGTCATAGGAAAACGCGTGTTCTGAGAGAAAAATTACAAATAATTCGTCAATTTATGATATGATAAAAAAATATTATTGACTAATAGGGCTTGCGTTAGAAGTCTAGAAGTCTAGTCGAAAACTACTAGAAGTAGTTTTCGATTTCTACCAAAACATCATAACTTTAGTGAATTTAAAGTGATCATAACTTTAACTTCGAGACGGAACAACAAGAATAACGTCAGTATTTTTCACTAAAATCCGGAGCTGTCGGACATTTCTGCAAGTGAAGGAGAAGTCATAGTTTCCTACTAGAATATCACATTGATGGGGCTCGCTTCAAAACCGCTATTTCTGAGGTTTTGAATTTGAAGGAAAATTGTACCAAATAACTGCAAAACACTAACAAATATAGCCAATTATAAAATCAGAATTAAAAAAATGCATTAAGTGTTGACTCTGATGATAGATAGTATGTAATTATACAGATTCTGAGTAAAAGTTTTTCGATTGAGGTGGATTTTTAAGCTGCACCAAATACTCGAGATTAATGATTTGAGTGTTGGTGTATTAATAATGACAGTTCAGTGTTTGTACGGAAGGTCAGATATGGTATTCAGGTGGTTAACTAATAGTTACTAGAAATATGCTTTTAAGGTCGAGTAGTTACTATAGTGTAGTTCCTAGTAACACGCTATACGGTCGAGTAGTAGCTAGTGTAGCAGGCCAGGGCATGAGAACAAATGACAAAAGAATGGAGGAAGGGCGTGTCAGCGAGGGTCTCTTAATCTGAGTGAGTGAATACCAGGAAATAAAATGCTTGCTGAAAAATGTCATGGACAAAAAAAATATTCAATAAACACTAACCTCGAGAATTGACACCGCCTGCGCACTGCATGAAGCTTAAACCGGTTGCCATCGTGCGTGAATTTGTAACCATTACATCGAAAGCTTCTTGAGAGACTCTGAAGAGCTCGAAGACCTGCACAAATTGGAGGTCAAGCTTTTGGTGCACAGCTACCCAGAAATATGGGTTATAAGACGAAAAAAATATTGTGAAAATAGAAATCCCGGAGCACTGCTACCCAGAAATATGTGTTGTAAAGTAAAAAAAATATTGAAAAATAGAAATTCTGCAATTTAACCGGGAGCGTGAGAAATAAATAATATCACGTCTGTTCGTATAGTGGTTGGCAGTACTGATGTGTCACAAGATATGATGCATGCAACCCACCACTTTGGCTCCATCAGACAACTTGGCGGCGAATCGCTGGAAGATGACGCTGACCGAGCGTCTTGCGCAGCTCAGGGCGCGGCTTGGGTCTGGCGCTCTGACGCTAACATGCTGAAAAAATTATTTCTTTGTTGAATAATAAAAGAATTGATGAGAAGCTGACTATAGTTAATGATTAATAAAGAGGTAATGATTAGTATTGTTCAAGGTTTAATAAAGAATAACATAACATCCAAATTAAAACCAAAGCATGTAAAAGCGATTCGATTTTTTAAAAGAAGATTCACTTATTTTTGGTTAGTTAGATTATTAAAGGCAGGCAAGTCGTCCGACGTCGTCTCCAGCGCTCACCTGACTCGATGCCAGTGCTGCCATCTGCAGGAAATGAACTCGTGTAAGAAATTTTTAGTCTCGTAATGAGTTAATTACAAATATTCAGGATATTGAAAGTGTCGCCTAAATTACCCAGTTTGTTATCATCAACACTACAATACATGTTCATTAAATAAATATAATCAATATTGTGTTTATAAATTATGTTATGGATTCTCTCAAAGAAAGCAGAGAGCAGCGCCAGTTATTTTTTTAATCGGGTTCATTTGAAGACCGCATGGTTTGTTATTTCTTAACAATTAACAATTAAATAGTACACTAATATTGAAAAATGATTATCACATTGCTGAGCAACACAGGAATTTATTCTTAGGGTTTCAAAATGTATAAATTCAATCTTCATATACTGATGCATATAAAAAATTTGGCAACGAACGAAGGTAAAAGCAACAAACTCAAGTTTCCTCTATTTTCGGAATAAAAATTTACGATATTTCATTGTCATGCATTTACGTTCACATCTTTTCACAAGTGGTCCTTATTCATTACGTAAAAACGAGATTGTAGCACGTAACATCACCTTAAAAACAATTCCAAATCGTAAGGTGAATTCAATAATTTATTTGTGTAAGAAATGTACCCGCGATTTGCATATGGATTTTGCCGCTATTAAAGCATTACACAGCTAGAGAGCATCATACAGCACAAAAGATTTCATCGATACTAGGAAAGTATCTGAAGCTCCATAAATTTATGTACTCGATGCTTGTTCGGTCTGTTTCAACACTAATAATTATATGTTTTTTACCTTCAACTTAAAAAATACGTATTTAAATAAATTGAACAATCAGACTTCGTTCCAACTCGTCATGGCGACGGCATCGTCCAACGTACCGCAGCTAAGACAGTCAGGGCTGCGAGAATGTGAGTGCGCTTCATTTTAGACAGTTTTCAGGATTCCTCTGGATGCTGAAAAAAAAGTTTAGTTCATTCAACAAATGTTCGAATCGAATTGCAGCATGAGGGTCAAAAAACATTTGCAACGAAATATCAATTAACGAATAACAACAAATGACTGGCAACGCAACGAATAGCAAAGTTAAATGATAAAACAACTTTATTCTCCAATTCACTTCCATTCGAATTAATTTTTCTTTATGACCCCACTTATGCATGGCTATCTCTCAATATATGTATCACAAAATTTAAAGGTGTTACTATTATGCTTAAAGAACAAGTGTTGGCGTGGGTACTAATTTAGTCAAGTTAATTTAGAAATGCGACACCCACCTTAACCCTTTAAATAAATCAAGGAGACGAGACGTGACTGCGTCTTGATCTACAACTGGCGTACCACGAACTGTCTCGTACAAAACACTGATGAGGCTTACGTCATATAAGACTTACACGATTCAGTTAGAAGAGTACTAAAATATCTGAAAAATAAGTTATAAATTAATAATAGGAATTATGATTTTCAAAAGATATCAATGTACATTTTTTCCATGTTCTGACTAAAGAATGCAATTAGAGAAGCGCAAGTTAGTACATATAATGACCTGAGTTCAAGTAACGACCTAATAACGGTAGAGGCCTTCAGTAGCGGTACCGCGAACTATATGAAATGAGGCGGCTAGGTATCACCGAACTACATGAAATGTGGAGGTAAAGTGGGTGAAATAAATATAAATTGGGTGAATTTTCTAATATGTCTATTTAAGCAATTAATTTAAAATGAATATTTATTTAGAGAGCTCGGATGTTCCTAAAAAATGCGAAAAAATTCTTCCTAAAAATATCACCAAAAATTTTTGATATATAAATTAAACTTTAAGAAAAAACATTAAAATGTCCATCTTTTGTTACAGAATCCATCGTATAAATTAATGTTTCTCATTAATCTTCAAGTACAATTAATGTAAAAATAAAATTTGCTGTTCGGAAAAGTTGTCAAAAATTATTTTCGAATAACCCTTCAAGGCATTGTTCCAATCAAAAGCTGATTGTATTATTAGGAACTCTCGCCAATATATGAAAAAACCATGATTCAAAATCGTGCAACAAAGAATATTTTTTACACGACTACTGAATAAAAGTTACCATCGCTTATTATACGAATTATTCGTTCTGCCCGAATAACGGGACTATACCAGCGGAGCGCAGCACTTCGTTCAGAAACTACACTGCCACGTTGAGTGTCCAGAAATGTTATGCACGCACCGCTTCACACAACTGCAGTCGAACGGTTGCCACACAAGTGTGTGCTCTGTGTGTCCAATATGTACGAGCAAAGCGGTTTGTCGAAACTATACGCCACGTGGATTAACCTCTTTACACGTTGTTTGTTCGCTCTTTTCACGTTGATAAGTCACTCTTTACACGTTAATTAGTCGCTCTTAACACGTTAATGAGTCGTTCTTTACACGTTGAGTAGTCACTTTTTACACATTGATTAGTTATTTTTTTACACGTTTATTAGTCGCTCTGTACACGTCGAAATTAGCCGCTCTTTAAACGCGGTTAGTCTCTTTTCATGACACGTGTGCTGCAGCAGGAAACTGTGACGTAACAAGACCTAGATTGCGTTATATCTGCTGACGCTGAATGTACATTGTACAGTTATTAGAAAATAACGTTAGCCTGAAGTTAACATTTGTGTGTCAATAAAAGTTAGTACAGCAAACAAAAAAAAAATCCAGTAAAAGTTAGTATAGAAATTACTAGGGAAAGTTTTTTCTGAATCGATCACGTTTTATCCACGTGGACGATTGCAATGATGACTAAGGTTTGAAAAAATAGACATGAATATCAGCCTGAATGAGCGGATGGCATGAGAATACTATAACCTATGAATAATTATTTGATTTTCTTAGTAAAAATTGACGATTTCCTAACTTAAAAATTTTGAAATTTAAACTAAGTACTGTATATATAATATTAGGAAATTATACGTATAAATCATATATGAATGTACATAAAATAAGCTTTATTGAAATCCCCGCCTTCGCATCTGAAAAGTAGTTTTTAATCAAATTTTGAATGCTGAAGTTAACAAATGAAATTTGTTTGTAGCGCTGATCATCTAAAGTTTTTGAACAAACAAAGACGCTAGTCTCTGTTATAAATTTCACTACGAAAAACCCAAGCTATTCATCGAAAAGACAACTTATTTCTAAACCCTGTATTTTCAGCCAATATTAAAAATTTGAAATCTTCAGCCTTTTTAAGTTTGCTACAATTTTGTTTCAATTTATAATTTCATCTATAAACACTGAAAACTTGTAATATGGTAATAACCAACCTAAAAAATATCTTTGTTATTAAATTTGAAATTCTTTTTGACAATTTGCTTTCCGTTTTGGCAGTTTACTAACTTTGTGAGAAATTTAAAATTTCTCACCAAGAATTACATAAACATCAGATGATTTAATTTTTGCGCGCAGTGCGGTCGTCTTTTTTTGTCCAGCTATGCGGACAAGTTGACGTTGGGTTCTGCGCGAGCAAAATCGGCAGATTCAATTTTAAGCAGTTCCGAGCGGTGGTCGGTTCCT